TATCTTGTCAAACACTTTTGTTTTTTTGAATCAAATGTATGTCTGAGCTTACATCTGAGTTTAAAAAATTCTGGTAAAATTGTCAGTAGCAACAATCTGATTACATATAATAATGAATAATTTTCTAAACAATTATTCAATAAAGATAACTCAGGAAATACTTGGCCAAAAATAGGACTTAATAGTAAAATTGCTACAATGATGAGTTGTTTTGGTTGGTTTTACCTTCCATATTTATTTACTCTTTCAACTGCAGCAGGTGCTGATATGTGTTTCCATGTTTGTGAGTCAGTTTTACATGGTTGTAAGTGACTCACTGGATATTTATTAGCTGTGTCTTTAAACAAGCATGATAAAGTTTGCCTGGTACTTGAGATCATAGGAATTTGAATAATTTCTTACACACAAAATGAATAAAAAATAAAAAATAATTGAAAATTCAAGCCAAAATATGTCACTCACTGAAAAAAATACTAATATGTAAACCTTTGTAGATTAAAGTAGACATTAAACTGTGCATTTATACAAGCTTGTTGATATTATAAAATATGGTACTATTATAGATGTGTATCTTCTCTAGAATGTTGCAATTTTTGTAGAAAAGATTGTCCAAGTTCAAAAAAGAAATTTATGGTATAATAAAGTATGGCGTATTACAGTCAGGGTTCTTTCCAAATTTGGAAGTAGAATTTACACCACTTTGTTGATCAATTCATATATGTTTCATATGTTGTACCTTTGGAAAATTTTTTTTTTTAAAAACAAATCCTTATTGAAATAAATACTTTTAAACTTTTACTTTCTTAATCCATTAATTTATTCAAAGTATGCTTTTACTTAAAATTGAGAATTTATCTATTAGAAGTCCAAATTTGTTATTTTTTTTACACTTTTCAGTGTCAAATTCATCAGTGAGTAGTTTGCCATGCTTATTTGCAGCTCTTACTGAGAAATATTCTGAAATTATGTGAAACCAAACTTAATCAACATTGGAGACATGCATCTGGAAGCTTGGTAATGAAATGTATAAAATGTTTTACTAACTATTTTCCAGAATTATCTTTATTGATAGGGTTTTTAGAAAATTATTCTCTTTGTGAAGGACACTATAATCAAATAATTTCAAATGATAATTTCCTCAAATATTTGCAAACACCTGATTTGCAAATGCCTGATTCAACTTCCAGTTCTTCTGTCAACACAAATCTATACAAATGAAGGAAAAATATTTATGATTCATTGCTTCAACCATCTCTTGAAACAAAAGTTTGTGAAGCAGAAATTCCGGAATCCTCATCAGACAAATACCTTGAATATCTTATATCAGAATTAGCAAGAACAAAAGAACAATTAAAAAATTTAAAGAACAAACAGGCATATTATATCAATCTCTTAAATGAGTATGAGGAAAAAATTGATGAATTAGAATATCAAAATAAACAATTAACATCTGAAAATGAAATTTTAAAAGAAAATGGAATAGAAGATTTGATAACCAACAAACATGGATTGAATCAATAAAAGAAATTGCCAATTATGAACAAAAAAATTTATATGATAATATCATTAATTAATTAATGATCAGGATTGATTTAGCTTAGATGGCCTTTTAGGATATTCTACTTCTGGATAGCTTGCTAAGCAAAATCCAGTAGTTGTAGAATTTATAAAAACACTTACAACACACAAAAATGAAAATCCCCTTGAAGAACAACTTTTTAAATGTGCAGTTGCAGTTGATGCTATTTATGGTGCAAGACATTGTAAATATGTTTCTGCAATCAATTTAGCTGCATCAACTATCAAATACTCAATAGCAAAATCAAAAACAATTATTGATTTAGATAGTCACTTTTTGAGTTCTGGTGGTTACAAGAAATTCATCAAATGGCAAGAAAATTTAGCTGGTGAAGCTATACCACTTCCAAAAGGTTTACTAATTTTGGCCTTTGATAACGAGCAAAAGGGGGTGAAGAACTATTTAGATCGTAATTATAACACGGTGGTTTTTCATACAGTTACTAGTTTTCTTGCATTTAATTTTGATCCCATTGATCAAATACAAACAACTCAGGAACCATGGTTAAATCAAAAATTAAATTCATCACAGATTGAGGAGCTTTTTGATGTCACGCCTGAAATGCAACAATTACTTGACCAACAACTTTATGACTATCTTTCTGTCATCTTAAATGAAGCATGTGCAGAAAAAAATGATACAAATATTATTGATTATTTAGCAGCTGAGCATAATACAACAATGGGTAAACAAAAAAGGTGTAATAAATGTGGTAAAACAGAGATAGAAAATTTATGACGTAAATGTCCTGATTGTGATGAAAAATTGGCCAATATTGCTGAAATTCAACAAGAAGCTAGCCAATCAATCTTAGAGACAACAAATACCACAAAACCTTTACATATCAGATTCTACCAAAATTCTACCAAAATTTCCGATGCACCACATATAAATCCAATTAGTATAACTCAAAAATCATCCTCTCAAGATGGTGTTAAGGTGCCTGACATTTCTCTTCCAGATCCTTTACCATTAAACCCTAACTCTATTGAAAATGTTCGTAAAGTGTTAGATCACATTCAAGAAATTAGTGGAATCAACAAAAGTGAAAGAAAATGGATTCCAGTAGTTTGTGATGGAGTTCCATATAACTATGCACAAAAAATTAAGGAAGACTATCCAAGAATTCTCATGATTCCAGGACAACTTCACGAAGAAATGAATATGTTAAAAGCTTTTGTAGAGTTAAATTGGTATATTGTTTTATTTATTTATTAATTGCATATTTATTTATTTATTTATTGCATATTTATTTATTAATATAATAATTGCTAATATTTATTTATTCTTAATTTTAGGAATATTGATTTAAAAAGATTTGCACTATGTCAAGGATTTCGTTCAGAACCTCAATTGGGTTATTTTAAAAAATGTGGAGACTATCACAAAGCATGGGATTCAATTTGCAATATATACCGCCATGCAATGTCAATGGAATTGGTATGGTCATATGTTGCTACAGTTTCTAATCCTTCTGTTGAGGGATATCTTGATTGGGCTGCAAACCAAAATGATGAATTATATAAATTAAAATTTCAGCAGGTAAACAATTGAAAATTATCTGATGATAATAAATTTATAAATAAATGCTAATAAACATTATCAATTTTTAAGATCTTTTGGTATTTACAAGCTATAATCAATTATCGTGCTGGAATAAGGGACAAACAACCACTCCTTAAAGCAGCAGCACAAAGAATTTTTGCTCCAATATGGTCAGCAAGAAGACACCCTATTTATCAATCAATTGAGGTTGCTGATGAAGAACAACAATTACATCTTTGTCCTGAAGTTCGTCAGATCATGAACAAAATTCTGTTGTGTCATCAGGAAACTTTTCTCGCCATAATATTACATCCGTAAGTTTTAATATGAAATGTCGTAATATTACGCATAAAAAGGACATAATATTTACACTGAATGTAATAATTGCGTAATTTTTGCATAATTTTTGCATAAAATTACACTATTTATGTAAGTTTACGGCAGGCCCCATAATATTACGCAAATTTGCATCAGAAAAAATTTCCTGATGGTCTAGGTCTGGATGGATGTCTCAACACCAGGGTTTAGATGCTATACTTGAAGAGGTGAATAAAGCATTAAAAGCACTTGTACCACCTGTTCCTACACAAAAACATTGGGAGATTGCTGCTAGGAACTGTATCAAGTTTTTGATGGTAATCATTAATATTATTATTTGTATTGTAAAAATTTTTTTTTATACTTAAATTTTTATACTTAAAATTTTTTTACCACTAGCTTTGAAAGAAATTATTTTCTACAATTGGTTATGCTGATCATGAAAGTACAGGTTCTCATTCACGTCCAGACTTTGGAAAAGAATCACAGCGCTTTCAAATAGAATTAAGGAAAACTGGTTCCTTGGATCCATCTGAACCTAATCGTGCCTTTGAAAGCTTGGATAAAAACAATAAATTAAGTGAGGCAATGAAATCATTTAGCTCAACAGCTAAAGCTCATTGAATAGATTTCATTAAAGAAAAACTAGGTTCAATAAAGCCATCTAGAAGAATTATGCGCATCATACCAATTACTCTTGAAGAAGAAGAAAAGAAATTATCAGAAAATTCAATGTCAAACAGGGAATTAATATTGATAATTCAATCATTAATTGGATCATTAAATGAAACCAATTGTCCACAGTTCAAAGGACTGGCATCAAAAAAGAAAGAAGATTATTATTGATTTTGCAACAAATTAAAGATATTCACAATGGGACTGACAATGGTGAAGTAGAAGAGAGATGATTTGAAAAGAAACATGAAGAGAATTGAATCATGTGTTGTGTAATAATAAGATAAGTATTATCCAATGCATAATTTATTGATTATTTAATTCTAAATGTTTTGCCAACCCAGAAATTTGATCCTTTTCCTGCAAATTGATGTTATCAATAAACATTTAATTGATCAAATTTTATTTCTCTTTAAATTATTTTTTAGACATACCATACATGCTTAAACCAATAATAATGGATAATAACAACTTCATTTTCATTCACCATCATCAACAAATCCTTAATGTCAGATAACAATAACAACACAATAGAAAGAAATGATTCAAATCACAATTTATCATCATTGTATTAATATTAATTATATTAATCATTTTGTTCATGAATGAGCAATAAATTTTTGATTTTTACATGTATATATAATTTTTCTTGATATTCTTTAATTAGAGTTTTTTATTCAAATTATTTGATTATTCAATTATTTGTTTTGTTCATTTCAGTGTTGGAAATTCGTCGATCTTATGATCTGCAAAAAAAAATTTGTGCACATATGAACACAAGAAATTTTTATTT